CTGGTTTTCTAAATATATATTAACAAAAATTGTACTTAATTATATAAGTGCTGCATCTGGATCATGAAACTTCCTAGCTGCCAGGGTGGTCAACTTGTAGAATCCATTGCAAGCTTTTGGAATCAATTGCCTAAAGAAGTTGTGGAATCTTTGGAGATTTATAAAAGTGGGTTTGACAAACATTGATCTGGAATGGTTTAAATGCTGCTTGATCCTTCCATGAGTGCAAGTGACTGGATTTGATGACCTAAGTTCCTTCTCGTTATGATACTATATCCCCTACTTGTTTTACCTTTACTGCTCACTTTTTTTCTTTGGGGTTGTTGAACTGTGTATTACTGAATTGACTTTAATCTGCTGAGGTAATTTGGGATTTTGGTTCTATTCACATGTTAGCTACCCTCACATGTTAATGTCTGTTGCAAATTTGATCTACTGAATTCACAGCAAGGAAATATAACATGAGCCAGCCATGAGAAGTGTGAAGAGTTTATTAGGGTTTATTTAGCCAAATAAACGTTGGAAAATGCAGTTTTAGAATCGACAACAATTAATAGCAAGCATCACACCTTGAAATCTAAGGGAACATCTATATAGCAAAAACTGCTAGGACTAGTCTATTCACACTAGCTTGAATTCAGCTAGCACAGAAACTGAAGACAATACAGCACAGGCTTTAGCGATGGCTAGCGAATATTGTACTTATCCAGGGCTTGTGCTAGGCTTATAGTACCCAAACAGAAGCCAGTGCTATACTCTTTTTTGTATTGTATTTAAGGTCACTCTGGCATGCTAGCCTGCACATAGCTTTTTCCTCTGCAAAACTAAAGTTAGATATCTCCGTGTAACAAATTTTGACAAACTTGCAGGCCACCAAGAAGTGCACCATGGATTGTATTTAGTGGGCCATTGTCTGAGAATGTATAACCTAGATCAGTGTTTCTCAACCTTTTTTATAAAGTACCCCCTTAAAAAAAAAAAAGTACCCTCAGTACCTACAGTTTTCAAACACATTTTTTCTATCATTGCAACACATTTGTTTAAACAGCTTATTCGTAGCTTGGCAGGTTGATGAATTTTTTGGGTGTAAAAAGTACTAAAATAAAGTGCTGTAAAATTTAAAACAAATTAAGTTTTCCCCAAATTTCAGTTGACTTAACCCCCCAGACTTCTCTCTAGTACCCCTAAGGGCACTTGTACCACTGGTTGAGAAACACTGACCTAGGTCATTGACTCATTGATCCCAATTGAATCTAGTCGTCTGGGATTCTTACAAATAGCTTCTTTTCAGACTTATTCTTAAATTGCAGAGAGATGGCTTAGTGTAAACTGAAGCTTTAGGGAATTTTGAAAAGATGTGCAAATCTGTTTTGAATAAGTTAGCTCCAAGCAAGATGGTGATCTGATCCTTATTAAGAAGATAGAATATAGTGGTAACCTTATTTTTTCGTTAGGAAAGATGTTAACAATTGAATGAGACAAAATACTGTTGTAATAAGAAGGCTGTTGAAGCCATCACTCTTCAAGGAGTGGACGTGTGATTCAAGTTTAGCGCTCCTCCTCTACAATTGGCAACTTTTTATGGGCAAACTTTGAAAATGAGTTAACCTTCTGATTATAGATGTGAAAGGTTTACCTGTAAGCTTCACCCTTAAAGTGAGGCTTACCAGTTTCTGTTAACCTGTGGGGACTCGAGTAGCTCCCCACTTGCCTTTTAAATGGAGCAGTCCCTGCTTGTGGGAGGGGGAAGGCTCTAGCCAACCTGCCCCCTTTCCTCTCCCCCATCAACTGGTGAAACATAAGGTTTAACTGGTTAACCAATTTTTCCTGATGTAGATTTGTAATACATTGAATGCAAACAGAACCAAACATTTCTAGTCACTTTTTTGTTGGAAAGAATTAGAAGTTTGTCAGAATGAGAATTTTTAGGCATGTTCATTTGTCTGTAAGTTTGCCAATTCTTCTTCAAGCTAACAAGGATGTATACTGTTTGGAAAGCATTTGTAACCCCAGTTACTTATGTTAATCTTGAATACCTGCACAGATATGTATAATCCTTTTTATTCTACACACTAAGTTTGATGTTTAAACTATTGAGTAAAGATGGCTGCCAAAAGAGACTTTCCTATCCAGTTGACACCTGTGTCCTCTGTTTAAACTTAAAATTAAACTAGTCTGTACACAAGTATATTACTGCCAGTTGTAGGACACTCTTTAATAGTGTGGCTTATAGAAGCTTTTGTGGAAGAGTTAATTTGTCTTTATTAGGGTGAATTAATTAATCAACTGAATATTGTTGGTAAAAATTCATGAGTGGGGATCGGTTTGATTGATTGGGTCATTGTGTGTCACATTTTTCCCCCCTGTGGGGAGGGATCAGCAAACTTCTCTTTCCAGCCCAGCAGGGTAAATTGCTGGCATGCTGAGACATTTTATGTATGTGGATTGTCTACAGGCACTGAGTCTGTTAGCTCTCAGTTTTTGCCGGTCGCTGTTCTGGGTCAATGGGGAATAGCAGGGAGCAATGGTCAGCATGTCCCATTGGCTGGTAATTGCAAAAAGCAGCCAATAGGAGCTGAGGAAGCAGCACAAACCAAGGGATGCCACTTCCAGCTGTTCCTGTTGACCTGGAACTGTGAACGGCAGCAACTGGGAGCTGACAGGCTCCTTGCCTGCAGATGCTCCAAGTACACCAACGTCCCAGCACACCTGCAGTTTGCCTTGTTGGGCTGGGGACTGACCATGCTGCGGACTTGTGCTGTATTCTAAAAGTTGGAGTCAATTTTAGTAGATTTATTTTAATGCAGTCTAACACAAAACATGCTGTAATAACGGAACAAATAAGTATTCACATACCTTCAAAATTACCATCTATGTTTTAACATCTCCTATCATTCTAATGCACTTATTTGGAATCTTAAAACCCTTCAAACTTTGAATCCCTCTCCAATTAATAAAACAATTGATTAAACTCCAGTTTCAGCCATAGTAGTTCCCCCCCCATTGTCATCACAAGCATCGGCAATGTCATTGTCAGACTCAGATCCTTTTCTTCCATTGTGTCATCAGCAAATGTGGTATTGTCTGATCCATCAAGTGCATTGCTGATACTGCATTTCCTAAATTATTTTTCTATCATTTCCAAGGGAATGGACTCCCTCGCATCCTTGACCAACTGGGCAACCAGATTGATTTCAGGCTTCATAAGATTCCCCATGTTTTGTCAACTTCATCATGCCTAAGTACATCAAGTCAGATCACATCTTGCATAGCCTGTCCTTAAAAGGTTTGTTCAGGCAGACATCAAGCAGTTGTAGAACAGAAGTTAAGACTCCAGATATTACAGCCAAAGTAGCTTTAA